ACAGTGCTGCCACGAGCCATACCACAGTCATAGCAATGCCTTCCATCTCTCCACAAGTTTCTTTCTGAAAGCGACAACCCTTCCCAAAGAACCTACCAGAAATGTTCCCACCAAGATTGCCAACGTCCCACCCATGCAGGATTACAATGTTATGTTCTTAATTCTTTAGACTCTCAGAGTGCCTGGCTGCTATTCAGACTTACAGCAGACTAACACTATTAATACTGAGACAATCCTTGTAACAAAGTGAGATTAAGTATTTGGAGAAGACTCCTGCAGAAACATTTAACAGGCCTTGCTCCAAACTCTGTGTGCTAATCTCATAAGCAGTTTTACGGGAGCGCAGAAATTAAACTAGAGTTTATTTTACTTCTGTCATTTTTCCTACAGAAAAAGAATGCTCTCTAGCTTATATTTTGCAAATGAAATATATTTCTGGGGAAAAAAAAAAAAGAGAAAAAAAGATGAGTTTTGAAACTTACAGTTCACATAAAATGTCCTGATCTAATTTATATCCTTTCATAAGTGAAAAGAAAGCTAGTTTAGAAGATAGACAGCACTGTTGTTTTCTGCTTAGGAGGAAATTAAGGTCAGCAGAGGTAATGAAATGAGAAGTTGACTCTGAAAATGCAAAACCGACCAGAAACGTTTCAGAGTATTACAGTTAAGTCATGCATCTCCTGGAAACTTTTGTCTCTGTGCTGACTTACATCCAGACAGTTCTAAAGGTGAGGACTGCCACAAGATAACTGGGGTTTATTTCTTTTTTTCTTCTGAAGTTGCAACATGATTCTCTAATGATAATTTGGTTTTTTTTTTTTTTATTTTTAAACAAGAGCCAAATCATTATTGCAATCTGTTCTATAATGAATAATGTACCTTTAACAGTTTCATTCTCCAAATTATCCCACTTTTTCTGAATAAATAGTTCTAAAGGTTCTGAAGCACATGGAAAGTGAAGCCATAATGGAAAGTTTTAAGTGCAGATCAATATAATTCAAGGCAATATGAAAAGGGACAGTGAGCTCTGAAGACCACTTTGGTATCCATGGTGGAGTGTATTCCACACAATTCTTGCTGTTACCTCAGCTTTCTGCCAGCTTCTTTGGAGGAGATGACCTGTCTATATGTGTGTAAATAAAAACAGGTGGGAAGTCACACAACAATGAAGAACACCTGGCGACTGCACACATCAAACCACACAGCTTGAGTTCATAAACCAGCAAAACCACTGCAATCACAAAACCTCACTGGTATGTATTTAAATGGAGGAGATGAAAATGTTCTATTTTCATCTGTCGTGTAGCAAGTGTAACTTAGCCACAGTGGTTCACGCACGTGGTTTCTTACAAGATTAAAACTTCAAAAATTAACTAATTTATACACAATTGGCAAGTTTGGAATTTGGAATTAAATCTGGAAGGCACGCATATTGACAACTGGATCCCAACATTTCTAGGATTCCCCAGTTTTCCTAAAATTTAGAAACAGACAAGATAAAATTGAAGAATACAATAATAATAAAATAATAACAACAATAACAATAAATATACACAAGTCACAGATAACTTCTTGGTGCCAAGAGACAGATTAATCTTCCTTCATGAAAGTAGGCTGGAAAATACCACATCAACATGTATTTCTGATACCTTAAAACACTCAAGACTTCTCTCAATCACACTTCAGAAGAAACTAAATAATTATAAAACAAATATTGTGCTATTTCCCTCCTTATACCACATCTTCATATAAGAAATTATGGCATGAAACAGTTGATATCACAGCCCTAGCACATATTTCTTTTCCTTTTTTTTTCATATGAAGGAAACATAAAAGAATGCTCTGAAAAATCAGTCTGCAATGATATGAACTTTTCCATTTCCCATATGCAGAACTTCAGTATTATTTCTGACAGTGATATGGGACTTATTTCCTTTTCAAACAGCAAAGCCTCACTCTCCAACAGGATAGATGTGTAAAGCTTTTACTACCTGTCTATAAACGCCTATGAGCTAACAGTCTACCTGCATAAATTAAAAATTATCCCCTGCCACAAACTTGATTGTAAACATCTTAATACCCTTTTTTTTTTAAACATTTTTGTCCTAAACTTTAACTTAATGAACACTGAACTGCATTTTATGACAGCTGGATGATGCAGAACAGATGTTGAGCTAAAATTTCATGTGCCAAATGTCAGCCTAGAACACGTATTTAAACTTAGGAGTATCAGTAAGACAAACTACATGGTGAAAACAATGGAAAAAAATGTCAATTACATCAGTGTCTGCCAACCATTTTTCTGGGCCTCCAGACAGAAATTCTGTCTGAATTGAAGATGCCAGAAAATTATGTTCAATTTTAGGAATGCTAATTGCTTATAAGGGTTGAGTACTATCTCTTCTGGATATCTAGATTTTCATCTTGAGCTGAATGATACATAGGCTAATCAAAAGCCTACAAACAGTGTGCTTTTGTCTTGCAGATTTTCCTCTGCCACTGAGCATTTTTTTGGACCTCTGGTTGGACAGGTAGGTTTGGTGCCTGAAAACGATGCCTACTATTGCCCTCTACAACTTGCGGCAGTCATAAAACACTCTGACCGCTAGCCAACAAAAGCAGCAACATGTCTGTAAGGACACTTGTGACTCATCAGCTGACAAAGTGCAGCTGCTGACCAACCTGTGTACTTTTTTATTGCAGTGTAAGACATAACTGGTAACCCTCTGGGGCACACAGCACAACTCAACACAGCCACTGAAAACCTGTACTGCATTTGGGTCATCTTCCTTTTCCTGATTGTATCTCCCACATTCTACCCAAAGTAATTTCAATCCTTCCATATTATTTCTTGAAGTATCTGGAAAGTCTTTCATTTTATCACTTCCACACTAGTAATACATTGGCATTTTTGTAATCTATTCATATAAATCAATATGTTAAAAGCATTCTGATTGCTTTTGTAACTTTTTTCCCAACTCCTTTCAAATGTTCAATGTCTTTCCAATAGCTGAATGATCAGCAACTGCTGTAGGGCCACAGACAGTTTCACAAGTCAGTCTGCCTTGGTGGAGTATGGCTTCTGGGGACTAAGGCATAACATAACCAAGCATGTTTCTGACATTTCTTTATCAGAATTATTCAAACCAACACGCAAGGGTAGAAATACTAATATACACCACACACAGCCTACGGATCAAATAAATGAAATCAAGAGTAATGCAAACTCATTTACAAAAGTTTTGTACAAATTTCCAACCCATCTAACAGTAATCAGTAATAATATTTAATGATCCCCTCTAAAGGGTTTATGAAGTTCATTTTATACTTAGATGCTTCCTCGCTCCTATTTTACCTCCAGAAATCAATACTCATGAATGTACAAATGGCACGACAAGGAAGAGCCAAAAAAGAAGCAAATGAAAAATACTAGCACATATTCTATACATTAACAGTTACAAAGTGATAGCAAAGGAATTGAACAAAAATAACCTTTTCTTAGAAAGATTATATCTAAGACCTGTAGAGATACTGTAAGTACGTCTTTCCTGTTTAGAGAGAATAGCATTTTCAACACCATCATGCTTCTCCTGAGAACATTTCATACAGATTACAGTCATTTCTCATCTGGTCTAGTGCACTCCTAATTAGGTTTCCTTAACTTTCAACATAACACAATTACAAAGCAAAGCTCTTTTTTATACCTGGGCTCTTATATTCTGGAATAGAAATATAATACCATCATTTCAGAAAAATACCTTTCCCCTCTTGTTACTAATGTTTCCTTTGGCACAGGGGAAAGAAAGGAAGCAATTAAATACAATTTTTTTTTTCAAATTTCTCCAGTTAAAGCTAAGAGGGGAAAAAAAAGCTTGAAGACAGAAGTGTTCTCAACAAGTAAAGCCCTGCAAGCAGTGATGTTTCTGATGTGCTGCAAAATGTTATCTGCTGTTCTGTTCCTGGGTGGAGAGAGAAAAAGAATTGCTATACTGCTAAACAAGTAAATAATCAGTTTATGAATTTATGTTTTAGATTTTGGGAAAGAAGTTTCTTCAAATTGTTACTTAAAAACCTCCAGCATTTTTGTTGCAGGCAAATTTTTGGACTCTTCTATTATTAGGTTACACATTACAACACACAAATAAATCACACCATCTGCCAAAGAAAAACATTGGTGTAAACTAACACTTTCAACAAGTTCAAAGTCAAGTTACAAAAAGGAATTGTTTCTTTTCCCTCAGAAAACAGAACAGAATCACAAAGTGCATTGAGGATTCCAGCTAGCACTTCTGTTGCTGTTATTATAGAAGTCAAATAATTTCCCAGAAAATTCTCTCTCTAATCTATGTGCCTGCTTGGGCTGTAAAGTTTCCTCCTTGCACCTTCCCTAAGCAGATTAGGATGGTCACCAGCAACATTAAAAATTGTGCTAAATATTTGAAAAGCATGCACAGCAATAACCATTTCTGCAAAACTGTAATCATACATTCTATTACCACATACTGGCACTGCAAGCCTGTACAACACACGGGATGAAAGACAACCCTGGTTACATGTTGTTTTCACATTGCTCAGTCTCACTCACAACACCCAAATATCCTTTTCCGCAGCATTTTAAACATGACATGTAGACAAACCAAGAACTGCAACAACTTCTGCCCAGAAGCAACTTGAAAATTCAATCCACAATGGCTACAGAGCCAACAGTCACTCCACTCCTCCCATTTCCAGAGAAAATTACTTTTCTTAAGCTTTTGAGGGGTGGCACTACTGAAAGCAGGCTAAACACACACACATTCAAGACCACACCTATCATTTCATTGCTCATGAGAGCTTTCCAAGGTGAGGCATTAGGACAATGCTGTCATGCAACCAAAGTCTTTAGTGTACCACCACGAGTGTTTCTTTTACATCCCACAGCAGAAACACGCAAAGCAAACCGCCACTACAACCCTCCGCGCGAGCGGGCAATAAAAGACAATGAAGAAGGTTTCACCCACCTGGGGTCTTTCTGAATGCTATCAATGGAAGGTGACCTAGCCAAGGTCCCTTCGGGTGGGATGGCTGGCCCAGATTTGCTGTATGGTGATTCAACAGAAGGACAATACTGCAGCTGTCGGTAGGGGTCTGCGTAATTGGAGGCGGGGCCGGCCGCATAGCTGGCCCTCTGGAAGGTCGCGGTTGCGTTCTGTGTGCCGTGCTGGCTGCCTGTGCGCTGTAAGGGTACGGAGTCGACACCAGGGGAAGATGGGGCTACGACAGGAAAGTAGGGACAAAGTAAAAAATTGAGGACCTGTTCACAGAAATGGTTAACCAGGTCTAGGCAGAGGAAAAAAAAAACACACACATATAAAACGAGGGTTCAAAAAGAATGAGAAAAAAAACAAACAAAAAGAAACAAGCAACATTGTCATTTTCCAAATCTTAGAAGGAAATAACCATCAAACAAATTTCTAAATGACATGCCAGTTCTGGACTAGAAGACCTTAATTCCAATTAAATAGATTGGAGAGGTATTTTCACCCAGGGTTCTAACTGCACTGACATGAAATGAAGTGCAGAAGCAGCATGGGCATGAATATTCAAGCTAAGGTTCACAACCACCACTGAGTGAGGCTTTTGCAGTCCTTACAGGGGTGGAAGTCAGTCAGATCCACCAAAAGGAGGAGGATCAAAGCAGGCTCAAGAGTCCACAATGAGACAGATGGCTCTCCAGCAGAAGAAATACCCAGCCATCCTAGATTTGTAGCCCTGGTATCCATAAAGTAGGTAAAACCAGACACCTGCTACTGAGAATCACTGCATATGCTTTGTTAACCCATCTCCTGGAAATTCACCTTAAGACTTAGGAGAGTGTTATTGCTAACTCAGTCTGAAAAAGAGCTAAGCACAAGGTGACCATATAGATGTCTTAATGCACACCAGCAGCAGCTGCGCTTATACACCACAGCTCAAGATTAATGCATTACCAGTTCTGAGCAGCTTAACCAATAGCTTTAAACTGGCTTAATGCTTTTGCGACTCAAAAATCTTATTAATCTCTCTTGTAGCCCATTATCTTTGTGTTACAGCACTGGGTAGCAGTCCACTGGATTAAACATGCAGTATTTTTGAACCAAAGTCCAGTTAATGGCAAATGGATTATCACTGTAAGGGCAAGAGGACCAATACCCACATGATCTTTGGCATGGAGACAGATACAAATTAAATGCTGGCTCTGCTCAGAAGAAAATTTGGACTGTTTGAAGTGGCACATGAACTCATGGTGGTTGCCATTTCTTCCTGTCCCAAGACAACAAGAATTCTTTTGCCAAAAGGAGTGGCCTGAGTCCAGGGCTGTTTTTAGCTGGGCAAAATTCATATGCTAAACTGCAGACAAAACCACATACTGAAGAGACATGTTTTTATAACAGATTTCCCAATCATTTTTCATTGGCATGCACATTTTAAAATAAATATTTAATGCATTATATGTTCGTGAAAGGGATTGTAAGCATTTTATCTCAAAGTGTCTGCAAATGAAATACAATGAGCTTTAAATACAATTAACATGGTTTTGTATGACCTTGTACTTATCAAAATTACAACACCTGAAAATTTTAAATTTATGTTGAATTTTTTTACTTATTTTTATTTTTTTTCTTATGGTCCAAAAGTATTTAATTTTACAATAGCAAGTATTGTAACTTCATTCCAAACATAAGAAAGTGGGCTCACCCACTTATCTATTACCCCATCCCTGGAAGTGCTCAAGGTCAGGTTAGATAGAGCTTGAGCAACCTGATCTAGTTGAAAGGGTCCCTGCTCACTGCAGGGGGCTGAAACTGGATGACCCTAAAGGTCCCTTCCAACCCAAACCACTCTATGATTCTATAACCACATTTACTCACATATATAGTAACATTTTACATGTATTGTTTTGGTTTAATTACTAGTCTGTATATATATACATACTTCTTTAAGAAATGAGTAATTAAGACACACAGACCTTTTCATAAAACTGCATCAGTTCAAATACATTAACAGTATCACCATATTTATACACACCATGCACAAATCATGCTAAATTCAGTGTTAGAAAGACAAACATCACATTTTAACAGAAAATACAGAGTTCAAAACCAAAATCAGGTGCCTTGTGAGAAAAAGATTAATAAAACAAGTTAGAGAAAATACTAGAAATATTTTCAAGTGAAAAAGAGAAAATGTAATTGCATACTGACATAGCATACTCTTAAGCACTGTCATTCCATAGCATATGCTACTACCTTTTGACAAATTGTGTGGGGAATTGCAAAAAACTCTACACCAATACTGCAGAAAACAAGAACTTCATCGTAACGTTTATTGCTTTGCAAAATACTCCACTGTATTTTCCTTCATCTTCTTTGCAAGACAGTTAAACAAAAATCCTGTTTGTTTTTAAATTATTTGAAAAGTTTTCTTTGTATTTTCTCCTTTGTCTTGTTATCAAAATAAGTATTTATATAAACTGAAACTGGCTGTCATCCTAACACCTACAAGCTTATCAAGTCACTCTGATTCATTTCTCAAATTACCTTCCTAGCAGACTGCTACTTCCTTTTGAATTTTATCACTATGAACACAGAAATGCCATATTCAAAATATGAGAATCAAACAAATCTATGACTTAAAACATTCACAATTGTGTTTATTTGAACTGTGTTACCCAGATCAATTAAAAGAAAAACAAAAACCCCTAACAACTACACATTAGAAAAACTTCTACATCTAACTTGACTACATCCACTGTCACTGACTGCACATAGGTTATGCTTTAGCAGACATTTTTACAAAAATAAGTGTATGTAAAACCGAAAAAAAGTTACCTTCTACCAATATACTTCCCTTGCCTAAACAAAACCCTTTGGCAGCCAAACCTACTGAGTGAACTTTCAGGCTGTGGCAAACTATTGAGGGCTCCCGTCTATTTAGCTATTCAAACAGCAAAGCCAGAGTGATTATGTCTAATGAAACAGATTTAGAAATTGATTTCCTCACCCAGCACAGTAAATCTTCTCTGAGCACAGGGCATCCAGAAGGCACACACCTGGACTGAACCAGAAAGCATTCACATACCAGGAACATTTGCAGATGGTCAGGCAACCTTTTAACCTGCTTGTCAATTGAAGACAGCCCTTTCTGTAACTTTTGCATTTGACTGTCCTGTCAAATCCAAATCAGCTACACTTTGACCAGAACCAGGTCAGTTTAGGTGAGCTGACAAGGACAGGGGGTTTGCCCCAGCAAGGGAAGAGAGGAACAAAAAGGAATTGCAACAGAATGTTTCTGGAGAAATGGGCTGTCTTTCCCTCTCCCACCAGCCTGAAATCTGGTCTGGCTGAAGCAGAATCATGGTCAAACCATGTTGTTTCCCTGTGTCTACCGCTGACCCTATTCTGCCTCTATATAAAGATAAAATCAAAACTCATAACCACATTGTGAAGAAGCGGGTTTAGTTTTGTGAAGCTTGAAGGAAAAGGTGTCCACAAAACCAGACCTTCCTCTGATCTTCAAAGTCCCAAAGCTCACAAGGGAGATGAAGATTAAAATCAAATAAGCAGAAGAACTCAAAAACTTATTTATCCTCTACTGTGTCTTATTTAAGTGAAAAAACTTCTTTCAATAGTGACTGCTCTCCTCACTTTTTAGGCATTTATGTGGAAATTCAGTGGATTCTGATGTCAGGTAAGTTTCTGAAGCTCTGCTTGCTCCTTTTGCACTGGTTGGCCTTCCCACAGCTCCTGCTCAGCACAGCAGCCTTGCAGAGACACAAGGAGAGGGTGACTGGGACCTGACCTCCCCTCCCAAGCGCCCCACTCCAGACACACAGGAAGGGCTTGCACTGTCCCTCACCTGCAGCTGAGGCTGGCTCATGCTGGAGGGAAAGCCACAGCACACACTCTGCTGCAGCCAGCAAAGAACCAGCACAAAAAATGGCATGCTCAGTTGTAGGCCAATAAATCTCTATATATTATCAGTAATTAAACTTCAATGTAAGAACTGTCCTTGAAAAGGAGAATTTTAATTTTGGGTTGAGAAAAGGGTTTTACTGAGAATTTCTGAAATGAGAATTTTCCAAGCGAGCATTTCACACTGCAAATCAAGCACTACAGTCTCAGTGATCTCAGTTTGTCCCCTAAACATTTAAGATCTTGCTTTAATTTGTCATGTCATTAATACCTAAAAGATACTTTTTGATCTCAGCCCCTCACTACTCCAACCAAAATCACATACCTAGTAAATAGAGTATCTGGGGTACCACACAGGCATTTAGTATGTTCTTACAAATTCTGTCAAAGACAAAGAAAAGCCCTTGTTAAATATAATGAAAACCCTCTGAAGACCTGATATATGCCCTAAATATTGTTCTCTTGATTGCAGAAACAGCATATAGAAAAGCCAGTCTTTATAATTTAAATATCACAACTTTAATATTAATGCTGAAAATTTAGGTGTATCACTAAATATGCTCATAATGTGATACTCAGAAGCTAACTTTCAGCTTTTAAATGCTCTTCTCACATCTGTGGCAGATGTTAGGAACCACTAATGTAAAAAGCAGGAACACCTTAATCTAGGCAGGGATACTATTGCACCATACCTGAGTATCTTAGGGAGACCAAGTTTGCATATGAACTGCCAAAAAGTTCAGACTTTCTAGAAGCCAAAGGACATTTTGCCAAGTTAACATAAGAAAGATCAGACCTTCAGAAATTATAAACTCATTAATGAGAATTATCTTGCTATACCTGCTTGCTGAAAATTACCTCACTGATGCTGTTGTTCGATTTGCAGGTATTACCTTGTAATTTTTTCTTCTTATTATTTGATATTAGACATTCAATTCCTGTGCTAACATTCTCCTAGTTTCTTTCATGGAGATTTCACAATTATTTTCTTTGTTTTCTCCCTTTATTTGTTTTCTTCACTGATTTGCACTTGCAGTTGATTTATACCCTTTTGTGAAAGTTGAAAATTGGATCCCAGTTAGATATCTTTTCAGTGCAAAGTATGTCCACCATCCCACCATGAGTTCATAAACTACATAAATGCAGTGTATTCTGCTGATACCAAATTTATAAGAAGATTTATAAAGCAGATCCTTTTCCCACCTAATATACCACAAAAATAACAAGTGCCTTCTCTGTCAATTATGAAAAAAACTCATCAAGCTTGGGACACACAAACATTTTAACTCAAAATGCTGAAATTGGTGTTTTAAGGCATAT